ATGTACCACCGCCAGGTACCAGATCACCCAGGCTGTGATGGCTGTGTGGGCCAGCTGATCAGCGGGCAGAGACAGTCTGGTTGATCAGGCAAGAACAAGACAAGCCTGATCCAAGCCGGGCTGCAAGAATATGAAAGCTCTCGCAACTCTTCAGAGGTATATCAAAGGTGTAAAGATCTGCCCTTATATAAGTTCTCCAGATCGTATGACCTTACATTTCTTTGGGTCGAACTGGAGAAGCCACTTGTTGCAGTTTGTTGAGATCACAGTGAAGCTTGTCATTGCCTTCTCCTGTTATTATTATTCTCATAGGTTTTACATCCACAAACAGTGACGCACAGGATTCAGTCCAATCTCGGTCCCGTTGCTCTTTTTTTTACATCAACCTTCTTAAGCAATCTCAACTATTGTTTCGGTGTGTTGATGCTTCATATCACTTGTTGATCTGCTCTGATTACTGTATCTTCGATAGCTCTCTATTTTCTCCTGTAAAGACCTCTTCGAAACTTTTAAACTCTTCGCATACTTCTCTGTCATTCTCCCTCCCACCATCAACTTTATCAAGTGATCCTTAACATTCGACTTTTATTTTTCCTTGTGTGTGTACATAATTTTGTTTGTAAATATCATTTCACAGTTTTTGGCCTTTCATATAGTGTGTCTGTGTGTACACGTGTACATACAGCACTGCCTCGCTTACATGCTGGTGACGGGAAACATTACGAGTTTAATACAAGTTGTTGGTAATCTAGTCTGTGTGAACCTGGGCTTTCATGGTTATTGAGGTGTAAACAGCCTCTCAAGCCTCGTATGCCCTTTGAGATGCCTCCACACGTTTTTATGTCTTCTTTTATGTTCCTTGTGTTGTGTGCCATTTCACAGTTATGGCGGTTCCTGGTCTTATTATCCTTTCTGTACTTGTATATATTTATGCGTCTTGAGTCTATGATTGCAGGCTGAAGAATGGGTTAGGAGGAAAACATGAGTGGAGTGTTATTTTGAGCTGATGCATAAATATAATAAAGAACAAAAAGGTACTATACCGTGACTGGAACAACACACAAATAACCCGCACTTAGGAGAGAGAAGCTTACGACGACGTTTCGGTCCGATTTGGACCATTAACAACTCACACTAACACACAAAGGTGAGGAAGCCAGTATATATAGAAGTGGGGGACAAGGACGGGTAAAAGAGATGAAGAAAGAAGTGGAGAAGTAGTGGTAGAGGTAATGCTGGAAGTGGTAACGAGGCAGCACAGGTGTAGGTCACTGGTGTCAGGTGCTCCCTCTAGCTACGTGGTTTGCTGGCTGTATGATTAAATGTGCTTAGCTACTGGTAATAACGTCGTTTCCGAGTTATTACCACTGTTTAACATATTTATATTTTATATATATATATATATATATATATATATATATATATATATATATATATATATATATATATATATATATATATATATATATATATAATATATATATTAAATGCTCCTGGCGTCAAACCCGCTAACCTGCCTTCTTGTTGTTGATCTCGGGGGCATCACCTCCGTGGCGTGATCCCAGGCTAGGGATCTTGCTTGATGACTTGATCCAGGTTTGAGTGTGACAAGTGTGTTGACTGATGTCTCTACAGGGTAATCTGACCAGTGTAGAGATAATCATCCAGAGAGGTACTGCTCTCCTGTCATGTTAGTAGATAGCAACCATCCAGGGAGGTACTGCCTTCCCGTCATGTTAACCAGCAACCATCCAGGGAGGTACGTACTCTCCTCCTGTCCCATGGACTCCAGGCTGAGGAACTGATTACCTCAAACCCCTCCTCCTTTTCTACCGTTCTTCTTCGTATTGGACTGATGAAGCCACTGTGTGGCGAAACGTTTCCTCAATAAAGGCTTCCAAATGTTGCACGAGTGTCTTATTCTTCAACTTGTTGGTTTTCTAAGCCGTGTATCACAACAGAAATCGTGTTATTACCGTTTAGTAGAGTAGGTGCAGCACGTTGTAAGTCATCACACCCTAAAAGGGAAAACCCTAAAACCCTCCCCCCCCTTTTTTTTCCAGGGACAAACCCTTTTGGGGGGAAATTTTCCCCAAAAAAGGCCAATTTTCACAAAATTTTCATTTTTTTCAAGCCTTGTATCCCCCCCCCCCCCCCCTTTTAAAAACTTTATACCAAAAATCACCTTTGTAACACACAACCCCAATTTTTCCCCACAGCAAGACAACTACACGTCATCACAGCACAGACAATTTACACGTCATCACAGCACAGACACAACTACACGTCATCACAGCACAGACACAACTACACGTCATCACAGCACAGACACAACTACACGTCATCACAGCACAGACACAACTGCACGTCATCACAGAACACACACTTCATGTCATCACAGCATACACACAACTACACGTCATCACAGCACAGACACAGCTACATTGTCATCACACACGACAACAACTACACGTCATCACAGCACAGACACAACTACACGTCCATCACAGCACAGACACAACTACGTCATCACAGCACAGACACAACTACACGCATCACAGCACAGACACAATCATACACAGTCATCCACTAGTCATAACACAACTACACGTTCATCACAGCACAGACACACAACTACACGCACATCACAGCACAGACACAACTACACGTCATCACAGCACAGACACAACTACACGTCATCACAGCACAGACACAACTACACGTCATCACAACACAGACACAACTACACGTCATCACAGCACAGACACAACTACACGTCATCACAGCATACACACAACTACACGTCATCACAGCACAGACACAACTACACGTCATCACAACACAGACACAACTACACGTCATCACAGCACAGACACAACTACACGTCATCACAGCACAGACACAACTACACGTCATCACAGCACAGACACAACTACACGTCATCACAGCACATGACACAACTACAACGTCATCACAGCACAGACACAACTACACGTCATCACAGCACAGAACACAACTACACGCATCACACAGCACAGACACAACTACACGTCATCACAGCACAGACACAACTACACTCATCACAGCACAGACACAACTACACGTCATCACAACACAGACACAACTACACGTCATCACAGCACAGACAACTACACGTCATCACAGACACAACTACACGTCATCACAGCACAGACACAACTACACGTCATCACAGCATACACACAACTACACGTCATCACAGCACAGACACAACTACACGTCATCACAGCACAGACACAACTACACGTCATCACAGACACAACTACACGTCATCACAGCACAGACACAACTACACGTCATCACAGCACAGACACTACACGTCATCACAGCACAGACACACACACGTCATCACAGCACAGACACAACTACACGTCATCACAGACACAACTACACGTCATCACAGCACAGACACAACTACACGTCATCACAGCACAGACACAACTACACGTCATCACAGCACAGACACAACTACACGTCATCACAGCACAGACACAACTACACGTCATCACAGACACAACTACACGTCATCACAGACACAACTACACGTCTCATCACAGACACAACTACACGTCATCACAGCACAGACACAACTACACGTCATCACAGCACAGACACAACTACACGTCATCACAGCACAACTACACGTCATCACAGCACAGACACAACTACACGTCATCACAGCACAGACACAACTACACGTCATCACAGCACAGACACAACTACACGTCATCACAACACAGAACAACTACACGTTCATCACAGCACAGACACAACTACACGTCATCACAGCACAGACACAACTACACGTCCATCCACTAGCACAGACAACAACTACACGTCATCAACAGCACAGACACAACTACACGTCATCACAGCACAGACACAACTACACGTCATCACAGCACAGACACAACTACACTCATCACAGCACAGACACAACTACACGTCATCACAGCACAGACACAACTACACGTCATCACAGCACAGACACAACTACAACGTCATCACAGCACAGACACAACTACGTCATCACAGCACAGACACTACACGTCATCACAGCACAGACACTACACGTCATCACAGCACAGACACTACACGTCATCACAGCACAGACACTACACGTCCATCCACAGCACAGACACACACGTCATCACAGCACAGAACACTACACGTCATCACAGCACAGACACTACACGTCATCACAGCACAGACACTACACGTCATCACAGCACAGACACGACACACGTCATCACAGCACAGACACAACTAACACGTCATCACAGCACAGACACAATCTACACGTCATCACAGCACAGACACAACTACACGTCATCACAGCACAGACACAACTACAACGTCATCACAGCACAGACACAACTACACGTCATCACAGCACAGACACAACTACACGTCATCACAGCACAGACACAACTACACGTCATCACAGCACAGACACAACTACACGTCATCACAGCACAGAAACACTTCATCAACTTGCACACTTGAAACTACCTTCCTAACTCCTTTTTTTTTTTTGACGTGAATATGCTGAAGTCATTGTGTTTCTAATTGTGTTTCTTCTCATTGAATAAGTTCATAAAATGAATTCCGGACCAGATGGGCTGTAGTTCGTGCGTTGAATTGCGTGCGGCCAGTAGTAACAGCCTGGTTGATCTCACCTAGTAGTTAATTAGCGTTGCAGTGGGTTGTGTTGCATTTGGTTATAGCTCATTATGATGTTCAATGTTGCATCGTGTTCATCTTAAAGTGAACTTTTAACAAGTGTGACGTCTGACGTGCTGTCTCTGACATGCTTGAAGCTGTCAGGATTATCTCCACCGGGAGGCCTGGTCTGGGACCGGGCCGCGGGGGCATTAACCCCCGGAAACGTCCTTCAGGTACATGTTAATTTCGTATACTGTTTCTACTCATGTTAAACTCGTGTTTACTTTTCCAATAAGTGATTTTTATGTGAAAAATTCATAGTTTTGCGGCGACAAACTTTAACGTTACAAGTGTTCGCTGACGCACACCAGTTTTCTAAGTGACTTGCATCTAAAGAAAATGTAAATAAATGCGAAATTTGTGCATAAATGATAGAGACGTAAAGGAAGGCAGCATGAATTAGTGTAAGGCACCACATCCACCACCACCTGCACCACCACCACCTGCACCACCACCATCATGGACTAATGGGAGTTAAGCAGGTGAGACTTAGAGTTAATTCATTTTTTTTAATCTTTACGCAAGTTACCCAATTATCAGTAACAGCGGGAATGTCATTTGAGGTTTTAATTCATATATGAATGTATTTTAGCATTAGTAGACTGTGTCCGGCTGCGAACTGCTAGCAGTAACAAGGCTGGGACAGAAGCACTCTCAAAAACAATCACAGGTGTGCGTAGGAGCACACGTGATTGATGCAGCAAGTGTTGGGTAGCAGTAACATACGTGATTGATGCAACAAGTGTTGACGAGCAGGAGCAACACACGTGGTTGATGCAACAAGTGTTGACTAGCAGCAGCAACACACGTGGTTGATGCAACAAGTGTTGACTAGCAGCAGCAACACATGTGGTTGATGCAACAAGTGTAGACGAGCAGGAGCAACACACGTGGTTGATGCAAAAAGTGTTGACTAGCAGCAACAACACACGTGGTTGATGCAACAAGTGTTGACTAGCAGCAGCAGCAGCAGCAACACCAACACACGTGGTTGATGCAACAAGTGTTAGCGCACTTACACATTTGAAGAGCGTGAAGAGGTGAGAAATCAGTGATGCTGGTTGAAGCATTTTGAAAGGCGGGCTCAGGGCCGGAGGCCCACCCTCGTAAAAACAAATAATATATATATACTATATATATATATATAATAATATAATAGTTATATAATATATAATATATATATATAATATATATATAATATATAGGCTGGTGGTTAGGGGGGTTGTCATGAGTAAAATACAACTGCATTTGCAACATTGAATTATCGTTGTTTGGCTCCTGCAGCTGCAATAAATCAGGAAAACGTGTACAAATTATCATTTTTTTTTATCATGTGTCTCTCAGTGTGGCTGTTCATTATTGACATTCATAAGACATATTCTTCAAATATCTTCATGTCTTGTAATATTTTCACTTTTTTTTTTTTTAAGTTTTAAGCATTTTCTTTACGAAATGGAATTTTTGTTCGATATTTTGAATTAAATTCTGTAGTTATTTTGCAATTTGGACATCATATGCCGTGCACAAAACAATGGATATCAAGAAAAACAGGAAATTGCTCTCATAAATAATGGAAACTACTCGCTGCATTTTTCTCAGCAAGCTTGTTGTATAATATAGTGTTGTATAATACAGTCAGTAGATTAAGAGGCACACGCATTGTGAGGCTCACCTGTTATGACCAAGCCATAACACCTGTTATGAGACACGGTACTGTTGTATCCCTTGTGTGTATCTACTACACTGTTTTGTCACTTGTGTGTATCCTCTACCACACTGTTGTGTCCCTTGTGTGTATCTACTACCACACTTGTGTCCCTTGTGTGTATCCACTACCACACTTGTATCCCTTGTGTGTATCCTCTACCATACTGTTGTATCCCTTGTGTGTATCCTCTACCATACTGTTGTGTCCCTTGTGTGTATCTACTACCACACTGTTGTGCCCCTGTGTGTATCTACTAACACACTGTTGTGCCCCTTGTTGTATCTACTACCAACTGTTGTGTCCCTTGTGTGTATCTACTACCACACTGTTGTGTCCCTTGTGTGTATCTACTACCACACTGTTGTGCCCCTTGTGTGTATCTACTACCACACTGTTGTGTCCCTTGTGCGTATCCACTACCACACTTGTATCCCTTGTGTGTATCCTCTACCATACTGTTGTGTCCCTTGTGTGTATCCACTACCACACGGTTGTGTTCCTTAGTGTTTACTCCCACACTGGTGCCTCTCTTGTGTGTGCCTACTTCACACTGGTATGTCCCTTGTGTGTGCCTACTCCACACTGGTGTGTCCCTTGTGTGTACCTACTCCACACTGGTGTGTCCCTTGTGTGTGCCTACTCCACACTGGTGTGTCCCTTGTGTGTGCCTACTAGAACAGAGTATACTACTGATACCGGCCATACGATAGAGCGGAAAAATAATGTAAGGGACCTGGGAGTAGTAATGTCTGAGGATCTCACTTTCAAGGATCACAACAGTGCCACGATCGCACGTGCAAAGAAAATGATAGGATGGATAATGAGAACTTTCAAAACGAGAGATGCCAAGCCCATGATGATCCTTTTCAAATCACTTGTTCTCTCTAGGCTGGAATACTGCTGTACATTAACATTCCATTCAAAGCAGGTGAAATCGCAGATCTGGAGAGTGTACAGAGATCCTTTACTGCACGTATAAGTTCTGTCAAGCACCTTAACTACTGGGAACGCTTGGAAGCACTTGACTTGTACTCGTTGGAACGCAGGAGGGAGAGATATATCATAATCTACACTTGGAAAATCTTGGCAGGAATGGTCCCAAATCTGCACACAGAAATCACTCCCTACGAAAGTAAAAGACTGGGCAGGCGATGCAAAATGCCCCCAATAAAAAGTAGGGGCGCCATTGGTACACTAAGAGAAAACACCATAAGTGTTCGGGGCCCAAAACTGTTCAACAGCCTCCCATCAAGCATTAGGGGAATTGCCAATAAACCCCTGGCTGCCTTCAAGAGAGAGCTGGACAGATACCTAAAGTCAGTGCCGGATCAGCCGGGCTGTGGCTCGTACGTTGGACTGCGTGCGGCCAGCAGTAACATCCTAGTTGATCAGGCCCTGATCCATCGGGAGGCCTGGTCATGGACCGGGCCGCGGGGGCGTTGATCCCCGGAATAACCTCCAGGTAACTCCACACTGGTGTGTCCCTTGTGTGTGCCTACTCCACACTGGTGTGTCCCTTGTGTGTGCCTACTCCACACTGGTGTGTCCCTTGTGTGTGCCTACTCCACACTGGTGTGTGCCTACTCCACGCTGGTGTGTCCCTTGTGTGTGCCTACTCCACGCTGGTGTGTCCCTTGTGTGTGCCTACTCCACGCTGGTGTGTCCCTTGTGTGTGCCTACTCCACGCTGGTGTGTCCCTTGTGTGTGCCTACTCCACGCTGGTGTGTCCCTTGTGTGTGCTTACTCCATGCTGGTGTGTCCCTTGTGTGTGCCTACTCCACACTGGTGTGTCCCTTGTGTGTGCCTACTCCACACATGGTTGTCCCTTGATGTGCCTACATCCACATGTGGTCCTATGTGTGCCTACTCCCACTGGTGTGTCCCTTGTGTGTGCCTACTCCACACTAGGCGTGTCCTTGTGTGTGCCTACTCACACTGGTGTGTCCCTTGTGTTTGCCTACTCCACACTGTGTGTCCCTTGTGTGTGCCTACTCCACACTGGTGTGTCCCTTGTGTGATGTCCTACTCCACACTGGTGTGTCCCTTGTGTGTGCCTACTCCACACTGGTGTGTCCCTTGTGTGTGCCTACTCCACACTGGTGTGTCCCTTGTGTGTGCCTACTCCACACTGGTGTGTCCTTGTGTGTGCCTATCCAACATGGTTGTCCCTTGTGGTGCCTACTCCACACTGGTGTGTCCCTTGTGTGTGCCTACTCCACACTGGTGTGTCCCTTGTGTGTGCCTACTCCACACTGGTGTGTCCCTTGTGTGTGCCTACTCCACACTGGTGTGTCCCTTGATGTGTCCTACTCCACACTGGTTTGTCCCTTGTGTGTGCCTACTCCACAGTGGTGTGTCCCTTGTGTGTGCCTACTCCACAGTGGTGTGTCCCTTGTGTATCCACTCCCACACAACCTTGAAATCTACAGATCAATGTGTTAATAGAAGTTTATATATTTCCCAGTGACTTTTAGCTTCCGTTTGTGAGAGACTGCTTATAATTTGCCTATCTAGCCTGCACGAATTTTATTATTATTATTGCTTTTATTATTAAATCGAACTGCCCCAAAAGTTTCCTATTAGCCTATATCACAGAGGCGAGTAGAATGTCCTGCAAAGAAAGGTTTTAGAGTCCTGATAACCGTGGCGATGAGATGCACAGGAGACATAGTTTGTTCAACATACCAAGATGAACTGAAGGAAAGATAGAGCCTAGACTCTTTGAAATGCGAGGACCAGAAACAAGGAGATAAAGGTGTAGGTTGAGGACACACAGGAGCAAAGAAAATCAAAGAATGAGTTGGATGAGGGGTGTGGTGGAGGTAGATTTTATATACAGTTTCAAGAGTAGGCATGATAAGGTTCCATGCATTCTCGGTACACAGCTACAAGCTTATATATGGAAGTATGGTATGATAAAGTATAAGCCATTCTCGGTACATAGTTTCAAGAGTAGGTATGATGTGGCTCAAAGCATTTTTAATTGCAGTTTCAGTAGTATGAGAGGCCTCTAGATGGTAGAAGCTAGCTAGCTTACGCCATGAACTAAGAATCAACATCCTCCTCTCTCTCTCTCTCTCTCTCTCTCTCTCTCTCTCTCTCTCTCTCTCATAACCTTTCCTCCCTCACGTTCTTCCCTTGTCATCCTTGGCCCCTTCACCCTGCCAGCCTGCGTCTACCTTCCCCGGGTTGTGTTGTTATCACATCGCTATAAATCAGCTTGTGGTGTTGTATGACACTATCCTGCCTGGCTAATTGCCTGGACCCGGGCCGTTCAACACCTGTTCTTGGTGCTCGACTCTTGCTTTACCCATGTTACTGATAAACCTTATCCGGGATGGTAATTAATTATCGATCAAGATTAGTGTTGCAGTGTGAGGCTAACAGTGAATCATAGAGCCGTGTGTTATGTCTTCTGTGTGGTGGGTTAATAAGATACACAGATTGCGGTTTATGGTATTTGAAATATTTGTCAGTGTGATAATTGATGTCTCTACTGGGCGAAACGTTGTAATAAGATATCATAAAAGGCATTTTGTTGTTTATTAACATGTTGATATATTGTGGCACTGATAGGCAGTTTGTGGTGGAGAATGTTGAGTGTAGCAGGATTTATGTTTGATGGAGAAGAATGTTGAGTGTAGCAAGATTTGTTTGATGGGGAGGAATGTTGAGTGTTGTTGGATTTATGTTTGATGGGGAGGAATGTTGAGTGTTGTTGGATTTATGTTTGATGGGGAGGAATGTTGAGTGTTGTTGGATTTATGTTTGATG